CTTCAATCGTTTTTTGTGTCAGAGGTGAAGCAGCCGCTGTTGAAATTAATGGAATTGGTGTTGTTGTTTTTTTGGCTTTCACCGTCGTTGTGGTGATGCTCGTCGTTTCTTTTAATATTTCACTCTGTTTTTCTAAAATATTATATATCGTTGTCCCAGATCAGCATTTGATAGTTCACTTCTTATTGTCTATATACTTTTTGTACAATACTCTAAGTTTAGTTCTATCTAGATTCCTATTAATTTGTTCAGCGTTTTATAATTCTTTTTCTAGTATATCTTGTTATAGAATCAATCGTTAATATTACTTGTAGCACAACTAACTTTTGTCTCTCAGCTAAATAGGTTTAACTTATACACTTCTAACAACCAAATTTGGAAATATTATATAATTAAATATTGTAACTCTTATGTATCACACTATTTATATATAGAATCCTTATCAACTCTATGCAGTTTTAAATTAATGTAGTCTTCAGTTAGTATCAATACTATAAAATATAATAAAGTCTTATGAAATATGTGAATTATATAAAATATACATTACAAAATGTTTACTCGAATAATCACATTTGTCCCCATTCATTAACAAATTTCCCCCACCTAATATTTTAGAGTATAAAATATATGAGTATATAAATATATAAATATGTATATAAGGTATAAATATGAACTAATGCAAATAATTACCCTCTAAGTCTCTAAATCTTAAATCACTAATTTTATAAATCTCTGAATTTTATAAGTAAGTTATAAAGTTATAGAAATACAAACTCATTTCATTAATCTAGCTTCAATCAATCAAAAATCAACAATCATTTCATCGGGTATTTTCACCCCTTGACAGTACTTTCCTCAGTTCAGTTATCTTATCTTAAAAGCAAAATTGTTGAGTAATAGCTGTTCTCCTCAATGGACTCCAATCGCCTGTTACTTCAGCCACTTCCTCTTCCATTCTTCTCTATCACTGTCACTGTCAAATGTAAGCAGCCCAGCAGCTATCGTCTATTTCAACAAAATCCAATTTCTTCTTTTGAGTCTAGAAGTCTTTTAAAGGTCTCAAATCTTTTTTCTGCTTCTTTGTTCGTACCGATTCACCAAGCTCCACTCTCTCCAGCAAATCCTCTGCTCCTTGTTACTGCTCACACCACCACCCACTCACCGCCGTTTTTGGAGCTCCAATCGACTTTCTCCTGCCTCTCTCGCCCTCCACAAATTACAAACCTTCTTTTAGAGCAGTCCCTGTTCGTCGCACATGATCTTCGCACCTCCAAGTCTAGTCAACACCACAGTCAGTTGTTCTAAACTTTGCTTCCTTCTTTCACCTGGGCTATCACGACTTCAGGGCCTCCATTCAGGGTTGGCAGTCGGCTTACACATTGAGCTCAAAGGGTATCTCATCATCATGGGGCTGTTGCCCTCCGCCGCTCTGCTCCTCGAGTTTCCCCACACCGTCATGGATCTCTTTGGGATCTGTGTACCCCTTGGGGGTCTTCTTAATGCCAAGAAAAAGGTTTGGAGAATGGAGCCTGTTCTTTACCTCTCACTGTCACAACGTCACCACTGGAAGTCTCGAAGCTCTGGATGCTCTATCAGCCCCTGGCTGAGGGAGATTCTCTTGGGGGAAATCTTCCATGGTCTGTCTATTGAAAGACTCACTAGGTCCGTGAACCAATGGCGCCTGGGCCAATTGGGGGCTATAAGAAGTACCTCTGCTTTTTGAGTACCTTCCTGATCACCCCTGGGATGAGAGGAAGTGGGGAAAAGGCATAAAGGAGACTCTGCAGCCACTGGCACCTAAGCGCATCGACTCCTTCCACCCCCTGCACTGGGAATCTGGAGAAGAACCTCAGCAGCTGACTGTTCTCTGAGGTTGCAAAAAGGTCCACAACTGGGGGACCGAACCGATCCAAGATTTCCCTGAACAGGACTGGATGCAGTCACCACTTGGCTTGATCTACTGTGGCCCTGCCCAACCAATGTGCCACACATTCTTCACTCCTGAGATGTGCTCGGCCTTGATGGATCCCAGGTTCCTTTCCGCCCATCTGCACAACCTTGCCACCTCCCTCATGAGGGTCTTGGAGTGGGTACCTCCCTGATGGTTTACGTGAGCCTTGGTGGCCACATTGTCCGTCAGGAGGACATTCTGTCCCATAATGTGGTTTTTGAACTCCTTGAGAGCCAGGTGTGCTGCTTGGAGTTCTATCCAATTGATATTGTAAAACAAGTCCTTGTCCGACCACCTGTCCTGATCTACCTGATCTAGAAAGTGAGCTCCCCACCCCAAGAGGCTGGTGTCTGTTGTAATTGTGAGATGTTCCTGATCTCTTAACACACACCCCTTGAGCATTGCCGGGGACCTCCACCAAAGTAAGGAAGCTAACACCTTTGGTGGCACTACTACCCTTGTCGGTGAATTGCTTCACCCCGACCTCTGATAAGGGAGCAGAAACCACTGCAGATCCCTTGCATGCAGCCGAGCCCATGGAACGATTGCTATGCAAGAGATCATCTTGCCCAACAGTTGAGATAGTAGAACAAACGATGCTACCTTGTGGGATCTCACTTGGCTTACTAGTCGCTTGATGTCTGATCTTCTCTCTGGGGAGAGGGAGACCACTTCCTCCACTGTGTCTATAACTGCCCCCAGGTGTAATAGATGGGTGGTTGGCAGGAAATGGCTCTTGCTGGTGTTGAGAACCTGTGCGCCTGCAGACCCTGCAGGGTAATCTGTAGATCCTCCTCTGCTTGACAGGTTGATGGCGATTGAATTAGAATATCAACCAGGTAACACTGTAGATGGATCAGTATGGTCTTGAGATAGGCCACCAACACTACTGACGCCAGGCTGAACAGGAGGGCTCTGTATTGAAGATGCTTGCCCTCGTAGCAAAATCTCAGATACTGACAGTGATTTGGTTGAATTGATATGTGCAAGTAAGCCTCTGTAAGGTCTATGGAAGTCAAATAGTCTCTCTCTCTGACACTTTGAAGGATGGAGTGCAGAGTGTGCATTTTGAATTTTTTCTGTATGAAACAGCGATTCAGCCCCTTTAGACTGAGAATTGCTCTCCATCCCCCCAAGCTCTTTGGAATGATGAAAAGCACTGAATAAAAGCTGTGCCCCTGCTGTTCTTCTGGCACACACTCTTATCGCCCAAATTGACAGTAAATGCTGGATAGCTGCTTCCATCAGAAGTTGTCGGGATGTATCGTTTGAGGTTGGGCAACGGAAAAAGAACCTTGGGAGCTTGGAGCAGAATTCTAAAGCTAGGACGTTTCTTGTTGTGTCTAGAACCCAAGCGCCTGTCATCGTCTTTTCCCATTGGTCTGCAAAAAGGCTTAATCTGCCGCAAATGGGAGCCTCGATGCAGTCACTTGGGACGACGAAAGGACCAGTTGCCCAACCCTCGAAATGGCCGCTTGCTTTGTGGTTGGGGCTTGTTCTTGTCCTGGAACCCCTGAGACGACTGGAAATCCTACCTTTAACCAAACGACCCTTGACCTCTTTGAAAGTTTAGTCTGTAATAGGAAGGACGAAAGGATCTCCGAAATGACGGTGAAAACCTGCTCTCCGCTCTTCTTGAAAGAGAAGGCAAGATCTTCCGTCTGTCCTTGATCTCAACCAGGACTGGTTCCAGTGTGGCCCCAAACAGTGTGGCCCCAGATATATCCAACAGTTGCCCAGCCTGAGCAACTGAAGGAGTAGGATCCTCCCTTAAAGGACTCAGCTGCTTTGGTCCCTCTCTGTCCTTGGCATTTTTTATAAACATTTTTTCCAAGGACTCCTGAAGCCAGCGCTCAGCCTTTTGTTGACCTTTAGAGGTTCTTTTAGTGGAAATGGCCTTGGCCTTGCTCTTAGCAGCTGCCTCCCTGACTCTTCTACTAGATCTAGAAGAGGTTGCTTTAGACCTTTTAGATCCCCTTCTGTCTGACTGGGAATCCAATCCTTGGGAGGAAGAAAAACTAGTATTATGATCAGCCATATGGTCCTTTGATAATTACCGAAACAAAAAAGGGAAAAGTAACTCTAACAATACTAACTCACTCCTACACCAACAAACACCCCACTAAATGTACTATTGCCAGGTCTCACCACCCTCTGGCTTCTGGAAAAGGCCTCAGATCCTTAATCCTTTTTCTCCCACAACCACTTGACAATCTCCTGTGGTTGAAGTCAAACAGAAAAAAAAAAAGTCCCTGGAGTGCTCTCCTCAATGGCAGGCCTCCAGAATCTGCTTTGAAAGACCACTGCTAGCCCTTTGCAATTCCTGGACTAGCAGCAGATCCTTTTTCACGCTTCACAGCTGCTGCAAAGGGAAACTGAAAGCACAACTCACAACAAACAAAGGCTGCAGCCAGCAATGCTCTCTTCCTCCAGAACTGGCCTCCCCCGCTGTTTGCATGCTGATCATCTGATTAGATGAATCGCGCTATGGCCGTTCCAGAGCTGCAACTCCCTAAAGGGCAGGCAGCCCGGAGGGCCTTACTGTAGAGCACGGTCCTGCCTGAGCTCAGGGATGCACTCCCTGAAGGGGCAGGCATCCCCAGCCAGCTTTTCCAGCAACGTTCTCAGCTGCGATTCCCCTGCGATCACTCCAGCGGCTGACTGCCCAGGGGAAGCAGATTGTACTCACTCCAATATCCTGCAGCCCAGCAGGCAAAAGCCCCAGGCTCAGTCTGCTGCTCTGTCCTGTGATTCTTTGCAGAATTTTAAAAAAATGCACAAAAAGTACCAAAAACTAAAGTTTCCTTAAGAAACTTTACAGGAGCTCAAAAAACCCCAACTGCTTGAGCAATAGATGAGTCGTAAACTGGAGACTGTTAAGGAGGAAGATGTGTGTCCTCAGTTTAAACTCATCCATAGAGCAAGTAGACCAGAGTTATCCCATGCTGTCTGGATCCTATCAACACCACTCTGGAGAATTAGTTCTGCTCCCCGCTTTCTCCAGAAGCTGCTTTGCCATCCAATCCATCCAACATTCCCCAGTTCTCACCGTCAGCCACTGCCCAACTTCCTCTTTCTCCTTCTGGACTGGGTCCACTTTCTGGGCCAGGCCCAAACCCTCTTTAGAGTAGGCTTTTGTCTTGGTCTCACGTTCCACTACCTTGAACCGCTCCATTTGCTGGAAAGAGAGATTACAAAGTCTCAGTGAGTTAATGCAAAGAACGAAACAGTTCCCAGGAGGGCTCAGAATCCAGCCCCTAGCATGCATTTTCCAGCATTTGATCATTTGAAATGCAGGTCTACACTGCAATAAACTGAAAAATTAGGTGCTCTGATGAACATAACGTCAACCACCATTTCTGATCTGAAAGGAGGGTGGGAAAACCCAGAATGCTTAGTCAAATCATAGGACTCCTCCATATGTGACTCTCAAATTTTCAGATGTTGTGTGAACATATACAACACCACTATTTGTACTGGGCAGCAGAACCAATTAATTCATATTGGACTCTTTGGTGCTCTTTGAGGTTGTTTGCCTGCAAATATTCCACTGCCCATCTAGGTAACATCAACACCGTTGTTACCCAGTTGGCTACTGAAACATCTGTAAACAAGCAAACAACCAAACTCAGAGAGCACCAAGGACCCCACAGTTCAACCTTGACCTACAGATATTTTCTTCTATTGCAATTAACTTTTGGCTCTGCTTTAGGATAAGTAAAGTCACCACAAAGACAGAATGAATGAATCTGCAGAATGAATTCTGGAGTCTGAGGTGGTGGTTGGGTCTCATTGCATCTCCCATAAATTCTACATCCTCAGGAAAATTTAAGCCACCAAGATACTATTAAGCTGTTCTTTCATTTTCTCTTTTACAACTGAACAGCTCCTCCCCCTCATGGTGACCAGTCTGGTTGCTTGAAAATCACTGAACAGGTGGGAAGAAATGTTTTGGATGTGGGGTGGGTCACAGGATTAATTGGATGCTGATTTCTGTAGTCTCCCATCAGTAGAAGAAGCTGAATGCTGTGAAAAGAGAAGCAGCAATTAGAATGATTGCAGAGCAGATTAAAACAAGTGGGAGATCTCAGACCATTTAAAATGGCTTTTCTTTATCTGCATCTTGGAAGAGATAATTTCACTTTTGATCTATTTGATTGCCACTGGTAGATTAGGTTTCAAAACCATTCTTAACCTGATATAGCTTGGAGGTGATGAAAATTGGCTCCAAAAAAACCAGAAGGGAATCCTGCTGAGGAATCTTGTCCAGAGATAAATTCTACTGCCTATCCTTGGATTCAGAATCTTAGTCCCCTAAAATAGGGACTCACTATATTTCTTCCTATCCAGAAATCCTGGCTCCTGAACTGTTGTGGTAATTTCCTTAACAAAATTCATACGCTTGTTTTGTTTACAATGCTGAGTTATTCAAATAAGCAGGCCAACCTGTTAGGAATCTGTCCAACAATTAGTTGGGTTGGCAATACATAAACCAACAATATATGTTTGTAGCTTTAAGACAAAATCACTGTATTGATTCCGATTGGTTGATTGTATTGCGAATTGCCATAAGAGGGAGCTAGAGATCATGGCTTGCTCTCTCTGACAGTCTGTATCTCTGACATTCCGTTGCTATCTAAGGTTGTATTTATGCTGTGCTTATACTTTGATATTTTTGTTTACTGGAAATGACAAAGGCAACTGGTAAGAAGAACTTGTAATTGGATATTCTTTGGACTGTAAAACGTATATGACCTGGACCGTTTATTGGACTGTGCTATTTCTTAAAGTAAACTTTAACTCAATTTAGCGTATCTGAATGTGACTGAATAATTATTCATAACTACTCTCATAAACGTTTCCATGTGCATATCCTTGTTACTCAAGGGTTATTCTGTACATATCATAACAATGGTTGTGGGCCCAGAGAGATATTGAGAATCAGTGTGAATATACAGTTTCATATTCAGCCAGCTGATTGTGGTTTATTGTTAAACTACAAATGGCACAAGAACAGTCAACCAGTATATCCCAGATAACCCAGTTGGATGGAACAAACTATGTTTCCTGGTCTATGAAGTGCAGCCTACTTCTGCGTAAAGACAGATTATGGACTGTAGTTAATAGTCCACCGGATGTAACAGCTTGGGACCCATTGAATGATGAAGATAAAAAGAAAATAGCTGACTTTAACCGGGATAATGAAAAGGCTCTTAGTATAATTGGACTGACACTGAGTGATCAGCACTTAGCCCATATTCGTGGTGAAGAATCTGCTGCTAGGTGTTGGGACATTTTGAAGAGGATTTATGTTCGAGATAGTGTGGGTGCACACATACACCTTACACGTAAACTGTTTAGAGCCCGTCTTATAAAACATGGCGATATGTTAGCTCATTTGGAGTTTATGAAAAGGACTTTACAAGAGCTACAAGAAAAGGAACTGATTTTCTCAGAGTTGCATCAGGTTTACATCATTCTTTCTTCTTTGGATGAAACTTATGATGATTATGTGTCTTCACTGGAAGTTTTAAACAGAGATGAACTTACATTGACTGGCATAACTGGAAGACTGTTAGAAGAGTCAAGAAGAAGGCAAGATAGAAATCAACTGAGAGAATGACAACCACAGGAAGAAAAACTGTCTTCAACTGTCTATATTGTTAGGAAATGTTTTTCTTGTGGGACTAAAGGTCATATAGTCAGATACTGTAAAAAGGGTAAGAAGCAGAATGCTATTAATATACAGAGGGCTTATAAAGATGTTAGTTTATCCATATCAAGTACAACTACAACTGTAAACCATGATATATGGGTAGTTGACAGTGGAGCATCGCAGTGTATAACTAAAAGTAAAGAAAGGTTTGTTAACATGACGAAGAGTAAACAGCATGTATCATTAGCTAATGAATGGAAATTGAGAGCATCTGGAGAAGGTACTGCATATTGTTCATGTATTAATGAACGTTTACTGATGCTATATGTACCTAGACTGATATTTAACTTGCTATCTGTAAGAGCAATGGTAAAAGCAGGATTTGTTGTAACTTTTCAGGGAGATAAATGTTTAATTGAAAAACAGGGTAAAAGCGTTACTGCAAGATTGGATAATGGTTTGTTTATTATACATGATAATCCATTTATTAATGCTAACTCAGTTTATGAGAATAAAAAGCCTCATGATGAATGCATTCATCTGCTCCATAGACATATGGGACATATAAATTTCAAAATGCTAAAGAAAACCGTGGAGTTATCTAATGGTATAAAATTAAAACGTTGTACAAAATATTTAAATTGCAATGTTTGCAATCAAGAAAAAAGCAAGGTAACTCCTGCAAATAGGGTAAATGGACTCAAAACCAGTGAACCATTAGAAGTTGTTTTTGCTGATATTATTGGACCTAAGAAACCTAGTTTAGGTGGAGCCTGTTACATATTAAGTATAATTGATCATTTTTCCAGATATGGTTTCTGTTATTTAATGAAAACGAAGACAGAAACATACCAGCATTTTGTAAACTGGCTAAAATTTGCTGAAAGGAAAAAGAAACAGAAAGTTATTAGCTTAGTAACAGATAATGGTACTGAATTTACCAATAGAAAATTTGAAGCCATGTTACAGAAAGCTAGCATTGTAAGCGTTCTACTCCTTATAGACCACAACGTAAAGCATATATTGAACGTAGAGGACAAACATTACAAGCTATGGCTAGGACTATGATTTCAGATTCTGGTTTATCAGAGAAACTTTGAGGTGAAGCAATAATGTGTGTCAACCATGTTTTGAATAACGTAGTGAATTCAACGATTGGTGAATTACCATTTACTCGTTGGAATGGAAAAAAGTCAGATCTCAGTTATTTACATACATTTGGAACCCCAGCATGGGTTCATATAACCACGCAAGTAAGGCGAAAGGGACAACATAGAGCGAGACAATTATATTTTGTAGGTTATGAAGCTAATCACAGATCATTTAGATTTTGGGAACCAGGTACTACTAATGTATATTGCAGTGCAAGTGCTAAATTTCTGGAGCATGTTGGCTGGAGAAAGCTTGAACAGGAATATAATAAGGTACAGGATAGTGTTGTTGTTGAGACTTCATTGTTTACCGATAATCCTAATGATAATAATATTGATAAGACAGTGGAGGAATCCTCAATGGAGGAATCATCAATAGAAGAACCCTCTATGACTGTAGAAAACGAGGATTTGATGGGGGAGGTAAAGGAAGGGGACATGCCAACAACATGTCCTGAGTTGCCTAGGAAGTCAACTAGGGAGAGACGTCCACCTGACAGATTTCAAGCAAGCATTGTATGTCAGGTTAATACAGAACCTTCTAACTTCAATGAAATAAAACTATATCCTACAAAGGATCAGGTAGCTTGGCAGGAAGCTATGAATAGGGAGTTAAAATCATTAAAGGATTTAGAGGTGTATGAGGATGTAGAGTTACCACCAGGTGAACGTGCAATAGGTTGCAAATGGGTGCATAACATAAAGACTGGTGTGGATGGGACTATTACCCATAAAGCAAGATTAGTTGCTCAAGGATTTGCTCAGTCAGATAAGGATGATGATGAAGTGTTTGCACTTGGTCTGAGAGCAAATACATTGAGAGCAGCATTAGTTTGGGCAGCTAAGAATAAATGTAAAATAAACCATTTAGATGTTGAAACTGCGTATCTACATGCACCTTTACAACATACCATCTATATGAAAAAGCCATTAGGTTTAAAGGATGATGGAAAAACTGATTATTGGAAATTAAAGAAGTGTCTTTATGGTCTAAAGCAATCTGGTTATGAATGGAATAAATGTATTGTAAAGGAGTTAGTTTCAATAGGTTTTGAAGCTGGTATAGCTGATCCTTGTTTGTTCCGAAGAGAAAAATATGGTTTAATTTCTCTATTACTGTTACTTACGGATGACATAGCAATTATAACTAAAACTGAACAAGAAGCAAATGATATTGTTTATAGATTACAGAAAAAGTTCAGGATTAGAAATTTAGGGGAAATTAAGCATTATTTGGGTCTTGATATAGTGAAAACGAATAAAGGTTTTAAAATTTTGCAAGCCAAGAAGATTAGCCAATTATTAGGGGGAAAGAGAAAGGATATAGAGGGAGAGAAGGGAAGGGAAGGGGAGGGAGAATAGGGTAGAAATACAATTAAAAACGAATGATATCTTTTTGTGATAGTCTGTAAGGATCATTTCTCTTCATCATATCCAATCTACTCCTCTTTTCCATTATGTTTAAGTTACTTTTTATCATTTACATAATTTGTCTCT